AACGGCCGCATCGACAATGGAGGTGGAGAATATGGTCCACTCGGACTCAATGTCTCCAACCTCCCCCGGGATCTGGTCAAAGGTCTGCCGGAGGGGGGAGTTGAAGATCTCTCTGACAGGGGATTCTGCTAAACGTTCCCAACAGACCCTCACAATACGTTTGGGTCTGCTGAGTCTGTCTAGCTTCCTCCCCCGCCATCAGATCCAGCTCACCACCAGGTGGTGATCAGTTGACAGCTCCGCCCCTCTCTTCACCCGAGTGTCCAAGACATACGGCCGGAGGTCAGATGAAACAACCACAAAGTCGATCATCGACCTCCGGCCTAGGGTGTCCTGGTGCCATGTGCACTGATGGACACCCTTATGCTTGAACATGGTGTTCGTTATGGACAAACTGTGGCTAGCACAGGACAAACAGTAAGGCCCCATAATGATCCAAAACACCTTTTTGTGTTTCAGAATGAAATTAATGGCCATGCCCCACATTAGTACTTGTTGGTGTCTGTATGAAAACTCCTTGTAATCTCATTCTAACCAATGATTGCCAAGAATTTATCCGACTTTATTCAAATGTATTGAAAACATTAACATAAATGACAGATACTTTGTTCTGCTAAAACCTGTAGTGCAGCAGTGGAGAGCTGGTCATTTCACCAACCAAACCGCTGTACTCATTGCTGACTCTTCCAGCATGTGTTCACACTCAGAGGAGCAGAAAATATAATTTACTCTTTCATTATAACAGAGTGAAAGAGAAACAAGACATTACAGACAGCCCTGCATCCCTTTTCAAACAGAAGGCGAGCAAGAGTAGTAATATTCACAGTAAGTAGAGGAGAATGTAATGTTGTTGGGCACTAAATTACAGTCATTGAAAGCTTGTATGGTTACACAGCAATCTATCACTGTCACACAGAGAGGGAGAGCGGAGAGAGAGCAGACAGGCGCCAGGCTCAGCAGGATCAAAGCAGAAATGGTCCTCAGGGAGAGAAACAGTTAACTCCATTTAACCAATTGTCCTACAGACAGACAGTCAGTGTGCTGCTGCAGGCCCAGCAATAGTTGTCATAAGAGAGGAAAAAGTCCCACATATTGGGTTTCACTGGAAATGATTTGACTTGATTTGAAGATCTGCAAAACAAGGCCAATTTGGATGGGCCTCATCAATGGGCCTCTGCAACATTAGCTGGGGTTTTACTGTCTCTCAAAGGGATTACAGACAATGAACACAATGGGTTGAAAAATGGCCAATACACAACCATAGATAATTTGATTACAGGCCACAAGATAGAAATTTACAGTTAACTCTTAAGAATGTTAAAAGAAAACTGTAAATCACAGACTGGATTGCCTTACTGCTTTAATGAAACAACACAGTATATTCTCAAGCACAAGTAACAGGCTATAGCTTTATAACAGAATGAAAACATTCTATACTAGTAAACTGAACTTTTGTAAAGTTTTGTCAGCTGCATTTCCTTTCACACCTGGTGTAGCCAACGTTATTTCTGACCACTCAGTGGCAACGGAACAGGATGTAAACACCGTAAATAGGGATGTAAATAATATTACATATTAAATAGCCTATATTAAATGAGTGCAATACTCAGATTTTACAAAGAAGCTTGTGTTCTGAGATGTAATAAATCGATGCAGTAACGGGTGTTACCCAGCAGTGTGTAAGCACTTACTTTGGGGACTCCGCCCCAGATAGGAGGTTTACATCTTTCAAGACCACGGATCAATAGATCTACAGTGAAGGCTCACGGCACATGAAATGGACCACTGCAAGTCTGACCTATCAGAACCTATTTGGGTCGAGTCACGTGAAAACATCCCAGACTGATAGGCGTGCGCAAAGATGAAAGAGGAACTTGTTGCACTTCGCTGAAGAAGAGACAAGTCCTGAAGTTTACCACGCAGCTGTGCAACCACGGAGAAGCTTCGGCAATAACATAGATTTCCTCAAGGGACAACACGAAAATATCAACGAGGAGAGCGGCAAGAAAACTGGTTGTATGGCACCTCAGTCGTGCGTAATGAATCCTGCGCAGGGATCACCGCCCTCGGCTGCTCCAGGGGAGACCTCACCGGAGGACCGAGCCGCTGGTGGCATGGGAACTGACACGCTGGACCTGTCACCTGTCAGAAGATGTAAAACCAAAAGTTTGGACCTGTCTTTCAGTGTGGAATCCCTCATAAAAGACAGAACGCCAGGCGGAAATCTCCACTCGCCAGAGCATGGCTCAGGCGTCCGGGCAGAGGCGACCGAGTGTGCGTCAGCGAAGGGGCTTTATCGGTCCAAGCCAGAGGTGGTAGACCTCACTGACACGGAGACGAGCCCCTGGTTCCAGGCTCCTTATGCATCCGCTCCAAGTGAGTGCAGGACACTCTTCTGTCCTAATTCCGAGCACAGACTATAGGTTACAGTGTGATTCCAAAAAAACTTTGTCAACTTTCCAGAAGTCTAATGGAAATCTCCAGCGACTCTTGCACGAAACAGCACAGGCAATGCGCACATATGTTTGAGCTTTTAACAGTTTACATTGTCTACAAAAGTAATTGGCCATCGTACCTTAATGATCTCATCCCTAAAAAAAAATCTAGATAAGATAAAGAGGGTCAAAGCCTTGAAAGGCTGGATGTAACTGTTTCTAGGCTAAATAGCCAAATCTGTGTTTGATATGTCCCTGGTTTGGCTTTAGTCCCTTGTATTCGATCTGTTTAAGTCATATCAATCACGTAGCCTGTTTTCTGTTCCAATGACGCGATTTTCTAAATGTACTTCCAGGACTTCCCAGCCCGAGCCCGTGCAATCTACGGAAACACAAGAACAACAGGAAACCCAGGACTCCCTTTACAACTTCTCAGCTGCTTTCTCTGGAGAGGAAGTTCCGTCAGAAACAGTACCTCTCCATCGCGGAGAGAGCGGAGTTCTCCAGCTCTCTCAGCCTCACAGAGACCCAGGTCAAGATCTGGTTTCAGAACCGCAGGGCCAAGGCCAAAAGACTGCAGGAGGCCGAGCTGGAGAAGCTCAAGTTGGCCGCGAAGCCGCTGCTGCCGGCCTTCGCCTTTCCCTTCCCCCTGAGCGCACCCATAGGCGCACCGTCCCTCTATGGGAGCCTGACCGGGCCGCGTCCTGGTTTACCTGTCCCAGGACTATTTAGTGGACCATATGGGATGTATTACTTGTCTTAACCCTCACTAACTCTTAAGCTGCGTTAAAAATACCTTTATACAGCAAATAACAACCAGTGCAAAAATGTCCATCTTATGAGTCAATCTGAAATCTTTTATCAAATCGTATTTAAGAAAAATCTAATGGCGTGAATATTTTTAACGCAGTTGTCTCGGCTGAAGAATTTGTTTTATGGTAAATTATGTGTTGGCCATTTTTTCGCAGTGTATTCAGCACTGAACCCAATTTCTGGATTAACTTTTCAAAGTTCCTTTGTATTCCTTTCCTGTTCGTCAAACACTTTCCTAAAAGTCATTTTAATGTCTCAAGAGAAGTGACATGATTATTTAAACGTCTATTAGGTTCAGGATTGAACATTTCTCACCTTAAAAGGACAGTTTTTTTTTTATTTGGGGGCATAGAAAACACTGCAGAGCAGTAAAAATTACTGGTGCGCATCGTGTCTAAACCACGTTCTGTATAATTTGAGGAACCCGAAAGTTTAAACGACCTGTTTGATATTGTAGCTCACAGACAGACTTCCCTTTAATAAGCTTAAGGTGGAGGGGGGAAAGCTACCAAACAAGTATGATTGTACCCAAAAATATAATAATAAAGATGAAATGTCAAACTTCCAAATCATTCAACGAAAAGACATACACACTATCCATATTTCTAATTACAATAATAGCTCACAATCCATAGGAATAATCATGGAGCAGATAGTAAAGAGTCTGTTGGCTCATTTTAAACCTCTTAATAATTTTCCCAGTGTCAAAATACAAAATGGAGCATAAATCTGTTTTGTCATTTTAAAATAGTATTTTTTTTAAAGATTACCTCAAAAGTCAACTTTTTTTGCACAGATGTTCAAAGAGCTCTATAGAGTAAAAAACCACAGTCAGTTTCATAATAAAATGTAAATAAAAATCAATAAACTATTTTTGCAAACACTCCAAACTGCTACGTGTGACTGACAGACTCCTATCAGTCATTAATGTACAGTGTATTTTATATTCCATTGGTGAAAAAGTGTTTTGTACAATTATTAAAAATCTATTATATCAGTTCTGTCATTTCTTTCATTTTTCTCTTCACACAAAATCCAAAAAACATCATTTAAATACTGCCTTGAACTAGGCTGCATCTTCTTTTTTTAAGTAGGACATGCATTTACATTTTTTTGGTCAAACTTCTCACCAGTACAGCTCAGGTCAATCTGACATGAAAATAACGTATATAATTAAGCAGACGCCACTGAAGCATTAACTAAAAGAATCAGTACAGTTGGTCCTGTGCACTGACAGGATGGACGTCACCACAACAGACAGAAGTGAGAATGGAGCAAAACACTACACACAACAACAAAATCTATTCCTGGTCACACGAACAAATGCCTACACATCACTTCTTTTGCAGAAAACATTTTATTTTAAGCTAAGGTCACATGTAAGAGTAAATACATACTGTTATACATCTTTACAGGACAGCAAAGAGAGGACTCGGTTCTTGCTTTTCATTTCCTCCTCCCCCGCCGCCCTCTGAAGCCTCGGACGGAGCCGTGACCGAAGCACACAGTGGTAGGGACCCTGGGAGATGACAACACAGATGCTGGTTTTACTTTTCAAAATCAGATGAATAAATCAAAATAAAATATAATCATAAGACATTTCTGATCCCTGGTGGGAAATTCACAACCTACCCAGCAGTATGTAAAGTACTTCAATTATAAGTATGTAAGGTAGTTAACATGAGCTCCACCTTTAACAGCTGCAACATTAAATTGATGAAAAAAGTAATTCGTTAATACTATAATCCAATAATATGATATTCATTCATGTGAAATGTGCCATTCTGCATAATGTGTACTTTTACATTTGGTGTTTTAAATTTGGATGCTAACATTTCTTACTTTGCATGCAGGACTTTTATTTGTAACAGAGCATCTTTACACTGGGGTATATTAATACTGGAAATGTATCTTATGGTTAAAAACGTGTCTTAAATTCTCAGTGAACCTTAAAATATCTCAGAAATGTCTTGCTTACTGTCTTTTAGCCCAGAGCTTTCAAACACAGTTGTTTACATTTAAAGACTGACCTGTAGGAAGATCGTGGATTTACTGGCTTTGTGCTTGTAAATACTGGTTCATGAGCTGCAGTAGAAACATCTGCATGCTCCCCGGTAGAGGCACACTTTGCCATGGGAGCAGCTTCTTCCGCAGACACGTGCATCTCCATGGATTCCCCTTGCTCGGGTCGGTCAGACACCACATCACACATAACCTCACACACACCCTCGGACTCACACACATCATCTGCTACCTCCATGGCTGTGTCTTTCTGCAGCTGTTTCTTCATCTCTCGGGTTCTATTGACAAAGATACACATACAAGGGCATTTAAGAAAAATATATTATGATTTAGTGAAATAAAAGTTGCACATTAGTTTCAATAATGCTGCCGAAAGACTTTACTTGGTAATAAGCCTTATGTTACATAAACAAATGAATATGATAACGTTAAGTGAAAATACAAACACTGCTTCACCTCTGCAAGAACATGTCACAAAGATTCAATTCACAAGCATAAAGCCTCTTTACAGTAATAAACATGGACTCTCTTGGACAAAGCCTAGACTAAGTAATGCTTCTACTGGCGATTTGCTGCCATCTAGTGGGCAAAATGCAGAAAGTGCAATCTTACCCTTTGTCCTTTTTGCTTTTGTCAAATCTGAAGTCTGGAGGATACGTGTGAATCCTTATTAGATGGTCCTTCCTGTGTTTACTAGTCCTGAACTTCTGTCCACAGCCCTCCACTAAACACTGGTACTGAAAAGACAATAAGGAAGAGTCTGAGAATCTTTAAAGCCTTAAAGAATGTTTAAACCACCTCTCTTAACATACAGCTTTTTGCTTCTAGCTGAAGAGGGCGAGTATCAAACAATAACATTTTCTTTTCTTGACTCACCATGTCTTGACTCTGGGCGAGGATAGTGAAGAGAGAGTCGTGCCACTCCTGAATATGAATGTCCAGGAGCCGGGCACTCGGCAGGGAGCGACGGCAGGAGCAGCACACGTGTCTGTGCAGGGAGTTGTAGTGGTGTTCGTATTCGTCCAGAGTACTGAAGTGTGCACTGCAGCCAGAGATGTGACAGGCAAACTCTGACACACTAAGGAAAGACGGGATGAGGAGGAAGAGGGGATAAAATCTACAGTTGTTGCTAAGGAATTGTCATTTCAGGTGATAATCTGATGTTTGATGGCTTATTCTCCCTATTTCTGGATGGATTTGATACTAAAAAAGTTCTTTTAAATAACTAATCAGTTTAGTCTGACACAAATTAGTCAAAGGCAAAAACTCGGGTCTGGGAAGAGTTCGGTGAGGCCATGGAGAAGGACTATCGGTCGGCCTCGAAGAGATTCTGGCAAACCGTCCGGCGCCTCAGGAGGGGGAAGCAGTGCCCTGCCGAAACTGTTTACAGTGGAGGAGGGCGGCTGTTGACCTCAACTGGGGATATTATCGGACGGTGGAAGGAATACTTCGAGGATCTCCTCAATCCCGGCGCCATGTCTTCCGATGAGGAAGCAGAGGCTGAGGGCTCAGAGGTGGACTCGTCCATCACCCAAGCTGAAGTCACTGAGGTAGTTAAGAAGCTCCTCGGTGCCAAGGCACCGGGGGTGGATGAGATCCGCCCTGAGTACCTCAAGTCTCTGGATGTTGTTGGGCTGTCTTGGTTGACACGCCTCTGCAACGTCGCATGGCGGTCGGGGACAGTGCCTCTGGACTGGCAGACCGGGGTGGTGGTCCCTCTTTTTAAGAAGGGGGACCGGAGGGTGTGTTCCAACTATAGGGGGATCACACTCCTCAGCCTCCCCGGGAAAGTCTATGCCAGGGTACTGGAGAGGAGAATTCGACCGATAGTCGAACCTCGAATTCAGGAGGAACAATGCGGTTTTCGTCCTGGCCGTGGAACACTGGACCAGCTCTATACCCTCTTCAAGGTGGCGGAGAGTTCATGGGAGTTTGCCCAACCAGTCCACATGTGCTTCGTGCATCTGGAGAAGGCATTCGACCGTGTCCCTCGCAGCGCCCTGTGGGGGGTGCTCCGGGAGTACGGGGTCCGGGGCCCTTTGCTAAGGGCTACCCGGTCCCTGTACGATCGGAGCAGGAGCTTGGTTCGCATCGCCGG